ATATACTGAGAAAAGTAACTATATATAATAAAATTATTATGAATATTTCTTTAGTAGCGATTCACAAGGTCAAATTTTTGCAAAATGAAGGCTGACATTACACTGCCACTAGTTTAATGCATGTGCTTGTGGTCAGGTTGTTGTTTAACTTCAGTAAATTTACATCTTCACAAAAATTTTCACTACACATGGTTGTTAACCAATTCATTATCACCTATGGCATAAGTAAAAGTAGACTGTTGTTAAATGTTAATATACAATATGTAGATATATGTACGAATGCTCTACAGCACTAGCTGATCTATAATTATGCTGCATTTTTTAATACTAACTGAAGGAAACAGTTAAAGTACTCTATCTGTTGAGTGTTAATGGTGGTATATTGTTATAAACAACTCATATAGTCCTTGATCCTATTGTAACATAATGAAGGTATAAGTTGGATGTAGTGATAGGTAGGAGCTGGTATTGGTAAGAATCAATGACATTAGGATATATTATATAACTTGAAATGAGAAGAGAAAGGTGGCTGTAGAAGAAAATAACAAAATCATCTATTTTACTTGATTGTCATTCAATCAGCTGTACATGTTATTAACTGCTTATGACAACATTTTTTTAGTTAAATGGAACATAAATGTAATCAGTTATCATAAAGTGTAAACAACACCCTCATTACTATGATACAGTAATAAAACTTTTGAACTGCTTAATCACCAAGCAAAAACACAAATATATAAAAACAATAACTATAATCATTAATGTATAAAAACAAAACACTTCATTAGTTGGAGTTTATGCATAAACAGTTTCATAAACTGTTGATGTTGTTCCACTAGTAGATCTATTACCTACACTAACATGACCATATGCCATATTGTCATTCATTTCAAGTGAAGTGCTTTTTAATGGAATCTCATAATCAGCTGCTGTTGTTGATTGATTAGTATTACTGTAGGATTGTACAGATCTGGAGGATATGCAACAACAATAAGTTATGACTGAAGATAAATTGATGTCATTATTATTGATAGTATAACAGTGATAGGGAAACTGATAGCTAATACACTAACAGTATTACTACCTATAATATTATGTTAAAATTTAATATAATTGTGATCTGCTTACTTTGTTCTATACAAGGAGTACATGTACATGTGTGAGTTGACAAAGTTGTTTTTGTTGATGAAATATTCACTATTATAATAAAAAATGAAGCAATTAATATCAATATTATATGCTTACACGAAGATAACATGGATTGCACTGTACCTATACCAATAGAAAAGTATTTACTCAATAGATAAGTAATAACTTGATTAATTGTACCTCCGATAGTTACTGAATTAGTGGAATGTGTAACTGTGGTTTGTACTAGTGTATAATTGTAAATACCTGGAGGTAAATTGGTTTAAATATAAATACAAAAGTTTAAACTAACTTAGTAAGGCTGATTTAATATTACCAGTTCCTAATACATTAACAGCAGCCACTCCAACAGTATATGCTGATCCTACTGCAGCATCAGGTATATTGTATGTAGTGGTAGGAACTGGTATTGTTATACTAGTATAAAGATCAGTGACATTAAAATATATGATATAGTTTAATAGAGGAAGAAGCATTGGGGTAGCTGGCTATATAGGGAAACATAAACATGAGTAGATTAATTATTTAACTTACTTTATTCCATGATACATAAATACCGAAGCCAGTCTGATGTAACATTAAGTCAGTTACAGATTCAGGTACTATTTAATTAAAAAAATTCCCTCACAGTTAATTTATCCAGCTATACTCACCATCAGCAATGAATGTTTTTTTATCAGTAGGATCCATATATCTACCAGCAGTATCAACAGCTACTACACTAATAGAATATTCTGTATCATTAGTTGAATGTACTGGTAAACTCAGACTAGTATTAGTAGTATTGATAGTATATTCAATACTAGTAATATTAACACTGTAATGAGATAAACAAGGACTGGTTGATTGTGGAGTCCAGGAGAATATAAGAGTATCAGAAGTGAACTTAATATCATTAAAAACAGGAGCAGCTAAGACATCTGAAATTAAAAATAATATGCAATGTCACAAGACATCACATTACAAGACGTGTACACACCTGCAATTATTATAGAGCAACTAAATGGTGTAGTACCAATTATATCACATAGAATAGTATAGTTACTAATGGCCAGTACAGGACTGAATGATATGTTAGACCTCATAGGATCAGCACTGGAAGTAAGAATAGTTTTAAAATAAGTGCCAATGATTCTTGGTGTAGAAACAACTGTTCCTTCAGCATATGCAGTTCCACCATTTGGAGCATTTGTACTATTACGAATCCTCAATCTCAATAAATCATCACTTGAGCCAGTTCCATTCTCCCCACTACACGTATAAGACACTGGTTGCAAAAGACATAGAGGTGAATAATTGGTACATCCAGTAAATATTGTTGTACTACTAGTACCTAAAAATTGTTTGATTACTTAGATCTACATCATTACAGGCTATTGACTATTATGAACTTACTGTTTACAGATAGAGCTAGAAGAATACACAGGAGATGAATCGTAACATGCATTCTCATCTCCATCTAGCCTTTACTAGATAACCACATCTATAATCTAGCTAGCGCGCTATAGCGCTAGAACTGGAATAAAGGCGTGGTTTTCTAGAGCTTCGCGTTCGATCGTTTCGCAAGTAAAATTAATTATGAAGAAAGCTGCATTTTGTCTCCTTGTCCTCCTGTGCCTTCTTCTGTCAGTGAATGGTAAGCTAAATCTATAGCCTAGGGCTTAGATGTAATCAAACAATTTCTAGGTACATCTATGACACTGTTTGTTGGATGTACCAGCTCACCTCTATGCCTCTCTGAACCAGTGTCTTATATGTGTAGTGGGGAGAATGGAGCTGGTCTTGATGATGATGTATTAAGATGGGGTATACGTGATAGTAGTAGATCTAGTAATGATAATATACCAAACGGTACAACTGCATATGTTGAAAGAACAGATGTTTCTACACCAAGAATCATTGGCACTTATTTTGAAACTATCCTTACTTCCAGTGCTGATCCTATGAGGTCTAATATATCATTCAGTCCTGTACTGGCCATTAATAACTATACTATTCTATGTGATATAATTGGTACTACACCATTTGGTTGTTCTATAATAATTGCAGGTGCGTATATGTCCGGTAATGTAATGTCTTTGTTATTTTTAATTTCAGATGTTTTAGCTGCTCCTGTTTCTAGTGATATTAAGTTCACTTCTGATACTCTTGTATTCTCCTGGACTCCACAATCAACCAGTCCTTGTTTATCTCATTACAGTGTTAATGTTACTAGTATTGAATATACTATCAATACTACTAATACTAGTCTGAGTTTACCAGTACATTTAACTAATGATACAGAATATTCTATTAGTGTAGTAGCTGTTGATACTGCTGGTAGATATATGGATCCTACCAGTAAAATAATATTTATAGCTGATGGTAAGTATACATTTTAATGATTTTAAGTTTAATAATAACTGAATAGTCCCTGGACCTGTAACTGACTTGGTAATTAATTGGACCGGTTTCGATATTTATGTAACATGGAATTATGTAAGTAAAACTGAATTGTACTATTATTATTATTATTTCTTATTATAGCCACCTTATTTTGTTAGCCCTTATGTATCAAGTTATATAGTATACCCTAGTGATCATTATACTGGTATAACAATACCAGCTCCTACCACTACATACAATATACCTGATGTTACAGTAAGATCAGTATATACTGTTGGTGTGGCTGCTGTTAATGCATTAGGAACTGGTCCTACTGCATCAGCTACAATAAGTTAGTTGTAGTTATTTACTATAACTATCTCTGCTAATAACTGAAGTGTCTTTGACTCAGCATTATTCTTATTATTTCTACTACTTTCCTCACTATAGGCATCATTTGTACTTTTGTTCCTACTAGATCTATTACATCTTTTTCTGTGACACCTACTGTTGTTACCAATAGAGGTAAGTTAATGGTACTTAAATCTACATGATGATATCAATAATAGTTAAAAGTACGAGTGAAGCAACACAATCCACATCAATGACATCTGCATCAATGAGCCCTAGTATGTGTTATAACTAAACATTTCCCTGATTTTTCAGTTTTGTGAAAATTTTGATGATAATCAACAAAAATTAATTTGTAAAATGAGGTATTAGAAATTTTGTCATGGCATTGTTAGTATGCCCTTTGACATTTATCAGTTGGTCTAATATAGCTGGAAGCATTTGACAATGGTTGTTTATGCTAGGGCTGGGCATACAGCTGTTGCTTATTATGCTTGCCCGGTGTGCAATATCTTTTGTTATTTTAATGAGACATATACATTTTATTGCCATCTTCTAACTTTAAACCACTTCAAGAAGTAGAATGCATAATCATTAACACAATATATGTTGTGTAGCTATGAAAAACCTGAGTAGTGGCCATTCATGGTGACTCCAAGTGCATGTTTTGACTCTTCATGACCTCACTAGATATTAAAGATATGTAATTATGCATACACAACTTGTACATGAAATAAAAATGATACTGTTGATAATACTTAGTTTTATACATGTTATAATTAATAATTGTTATTCTTCTGTTTGTATATGCACATTAGAGCTGTGACTATTAATAAATGAATGAACTTGTACACTAAACTCCTTCATATAATGATCAAACTAAAATAATAGCAAGAGAGAGGGGAAATGAAGGAAGAGGGTATAGGGAGAAAGAAAGAAAAATAAATAAAAAAGGAATAAAATTTCCCTTTAAATTTACATAATTAATTGAGTCTTGCTCTTTCAAATGTAAAAATGGCTTTATATAAAGAGCAGAATGACCTATAAACAATAATAACAATTATCATTATAAAATAATAAAAAAGTAAATTAAGGCTATGAAAATTAAGCCTATTGTGGCAACAAACAAACCATAAAGCAAAAATTTGAACAATTCAAAATATTTTTCACAACTCAAAAAATTTGAGATGAGTCGAGAACCCAGCTCCAACTTTCTACATACATGCATGCACAGAACAAAATGTACTATTAATAGTAATAATAGCAATAAATATAACTCATACCATATCTATGTATCAGTGATTGTTCATATATTAATATTGATAACAATGAATCATTGACTGTAGCTTTAGTCTGTAAATTTAACTTAGCATGAGATACTGACAATGATATACTAAAGAGAGAGAGAGAGAGAGAAATAAATAATAATTATTATAAAATACATATTACATCAGTATACACAAAAAATTCATGAATTTCAATCCAGTAGCTATTCACAGGGTTAATTTTTGTAAAATGAAGGCATTGTGCTGTGACTGCTGTCATTTTGAAACATTGATCAACACTCACAGTGTATTCAGTGCAGTGAGAGGAGTGTCGCTACCTCTGAGTCTCCTACTAGCAACAAAATAACTAGTTAATAACTGATGAGCATCTGATTGTAAAGTAACATCAATACTGGAACAAAATGAAAGTATCTGTAGAGTGAAAGAGATAAAAGGAGGAGAAACAAAAGTTGTTAAAAATAAATTATTATAATTGAATACCTCAATTATTTCATCATTTGTTAAAAGAGGGTGTGGATGAGTTGATAAGCTTCTGTCCCTTGTTACTTTATTAATCAGATAAGCAGACATGATTTGATCAACATAATCATCAGAAGAATCAACAAGTAATAATAAGCCAGAGTGACTAGGAAGAGAGAGAAGGAAAACTTATAATTAAAGAGTAGTACACTTGAGGGTTCAGGTGAAAAGGAAAGGACAAGAAAAAGACTTTAACTAATCAATTACTAACTCCATCAAAGATTTACTTGCACATGTACCAGACAGTTCCTATAAAAATAAATAAAGTATAGCTCATAATTTTAGACGAAGGATTTTCGGTAAATTGCTAATCAAAATGGCAGGTTCCAAGTTCCAACTACAATGTACATGTATATGGTGAAAATATACTTTCATGCAGATATTGGGCAAGAGTAATAAGTATGGGTATGGGGTATATGTTATCGAAAATGGTTGGGAGTTAAGTCTTCATTTTTATTACACTTCCTAATACATGTACAAGTTTTTATCTTATGCATAAAGTTGAGCTCATTCCAATCAAAATTGGAATTTTTTAGAAGCTTTAAAGTTATTAATGCAATAATAATAGTATAGCTATATAGCTTTTCTATAAATCTACATGTAGCAAATTTCAATATGTTGTTTTAATGTAATTGGTGCCATGTCTAAATAATTCCTCACATGTAAAGGTTTATGCATGACATGATCAGTGTTGAGATTAGAGTCACACAAGAGCCAGAGTGTACAGTTAAGAGGTACTGTCAATGATGAACTGCTGATTGACTTCCTGTTTGAATGTATTGTAATGTACCCGGACTCAAGAACTATAAATAACAAAATAATAAATAAAAATAATTATAAAACCACAGACACAATTACAATGTACATCAATACTGCCAATAAATAAATAAAAAACAATAACAATTACACAACAGTAGATTAATAACAGCAAGTACACACAAACAAACAAACAACGTAGACGAATAAATTATGCACAATAACAAATACCAAGAGTCCATTACAAATACCAGTCATACAATTCTTTCTTTCTCTCTACCTTGCTGCAGTTGTTCCTTCTCATCTTTCTTCATACTATTAATATTGTCAATAAAACAAATGCCACCTTTTGATAATATCAAACTACCAGCTATAGAATAAAAGACAAAAAAAGAAAACAAAATCAGTCAGAATTCGCCCACAAACACTCAAGATTGCACAAGAACAGGGTTTCCCACAAAGCATGCTTCATGAGCTGACAAGCACTACAATAGACAAATACATGTATATGGCTTTTTGAGTAACTTAAAAATTCATAAAAAGTGCAACTTTGGTCGGAATTAACTCAAAACAACTATATTTACATCAGAACATGTAAATTTTGTATATTAAAAAAATCATAAAATAAAAAAATTTTTCTAGTCGCTAAGGCGAAATTTGGCCAAAAACGATGAAAATTGTACAAGAACTTTGGTCCAATTTGCAAAAAATACAAAATCAGCTCAAAATCTCCATACAGCACACAAACATGTATAAAAAATTCTCTCCTAGCAATTTTTGAAAATTATAACAGTACATGTACATGTATGTGTAGTACGTATTTTGTCAAATTTTAGAGCAACTTGAAGTTCAGTGAAACCCTGACTAGGGTATTGATATAGATTAAAAAAATTGGTAGCCCCTGAACAGTTTTTGAAATTTTTAAAGAGCTTAAAGGCAAAGTTTTAAGCAACAATTTTTGTTAGTTATTTAAATGCTACATAATTTTGAAACTACTTAAAATGCTTATAATACAAAATCACAGAGAAAATAATATTATTTTACCATCAATCCATTCTAGTCCTTCATCTCTTCTAATTGTACCATTCAAATGTACCCCTCCATTAACAGTATGTATTACTGATCTATTATTAGTAACAGCAGATGATCTATTATTAGTAACAGTAGATGAATATGTTAACAATTGTCTTGCTATGTATTGTGAATCATTGTCAATAATAAGCAATACATCAATTATCCTGTTTCTAAAAATAGGAACAATGGAACGAGAGAGAGAGAGAGAGAGAGGGAGGGAAAGAGATAGAGTTAAAGGAATAGGTGGAAGAAAGAGTATTAAAAGTATATACCATATAACACTTTAATTCGGCGGAGTTTTATTTTGGCGATTGGCGGTTTGCAAGCAGAATCGCCAATATTAAAACTGCCAATCATTAATGCATGTGCTCAGTAATGCATGTGTACACAAAAATCGTCAAATTAAAAACCACCAATTACAATTTTACAGCAAAATCGCCAAAATAAAGCGCCGCCAAAATAAAGCGTTATACGGTACAAACCTTGGTTCACTACAAGCTACGAGACTAAGTAATATGATTAACTTCAATCTGTAATAAAGACCCAGGGGTACAACATCAGCTAAAATAAATAAATAGATAAATAAAAGTGTTATTTTAACTTATTTACATGCGAAATAGTAAGCAAGTATAGCTGGAAATGACCACCTTGAATATTGACAACCTGAGAGAGAGAGGGGGGGGGAAAGAGGAGATTATAGTAAACGAACACTACAGATATTACATGAATGTCAATTAGATTAACTACCATTAAATATCTGTAGAATATTAGGAGACAATTGTTTGTTAGTAGAATCATTTAATGTCTTATAAACATTGTTAGCCTACAAATAAAATAATACATTCTTTACATGTATATGTATACCTCTATTACAGTGTCAACAGTAATCCTTCCATTATTAGTACTATTATTATTATTAATTGCAACACCAATAACTGTATATTCACCACCAATCTCTACCATTGAGCACAAATCATCTAACAATAATAGCTAGTGATAATTAAAATAATAATAATAATAGCCACTAAACCTCTAAGTATAACAGTAAATCCTTGATAGCTTGAGCCACTAACAGGATACAATACATCAGTAGGCACCAGTGATATTAATAACTTATCTGCATAAGGACCGGCATACAAGAAGAGACAGAAAAAAAGGGAGAGGGAGAAAGTAAAGAGAGTGAGAGAGATAACAAATTACATAATAAGATAAAGCTCATTTTTACCTGATAATATTCTTTGTTTAACATCTTCAATTAAAATCAGTCCACAATAATGACACTTCAAATTATCACTTATAATTAATAATAATTACTACATACATTGTAATGTTAATTACTTTATAGTGTTGTATTCATAAGAGCCAACTGAATGATAGCGTATGTGTGGATCAGATGTACATGAAGAATTAGGACAGTAATAACAAGCACTTTCACTATGAATAAGAAAGAGAAATGAGGGAGAAAAATAATGAAGTGAGAAAAAAATAAGAGAAGTAAATATAATGTAAAAATAATACTTTATGTACATACGTATATTTCTCAATATTAGTGATACTAGTTACAATACCAGTACATGATATAAACTGTCCCTCTCCTTCATCCATAGCAGACTGCAACTCACATACATGAGATACATGATACCTATGTGTATGTACATGTACATGTTAATTGTTTAGTAATGATGGTCACTAACTAACGGTGGAAAGGCAGGAAGAGAGGAGAGTCTAATTAGTAACAGTAGCTGGTTTGGTGATGCTAAAGTGGTAGCTGGTAGCCACTCCATTTCTCGTATTATAATAAAAATAATTTCATGAAACACTCTCCATCCTTTAGAAGGACTGTGAAGCAACAGGTTACCTAGTGACGCTAAGAGGCAGTGACAAATGTTGGAATCACGAGCATATACATACCATTTGATTCTAATAACTGAAAAG